TTCCTTCCTTCCTTCCTTCCTTCCTTCCTTCCTTCCTTCTTTTTTGTTTCTTTTTTGAGACAGTTCTTGTTACGCAGTTCAGGCTCACCTTCAACTCACTATGTATTTACAGTATTTTCTAAATTTCTTATACTCAGAACCAAAATTAAGTACATAGCACAGTTTCTGTCTGTCTCTGTCTCTCTGTCTCTGTCTCTGTCTCTCTCTGTCTCTCTCTGTCTCTGTCTCTGTCTGTCTCTGTCTCTCTCTCTCTCTGCCTGTCTCTCTCTGTCTCTGTCTCTCTCGAACAGAAACAAAAACAAAACAAGGTATGACTATGCATTTTGCGCTGGCCTTCTATCCCAGGCTGGCATCTAACTTGCAGTGACTCCCCCTGCTTCACCCAAGGCAGATAGCCTGGCAAAGCAGGGCTGAGGAGAAACAATGGTCCTGGCAGGCAGGAAGCTCTGATTTTCCTGTTTTTGTAGGAGCTCATATCCTATTTAAGGACTGTGATATTTGCAGCCCAGGCCTGTCCTGGGCCCAAGGCGTTCAGGTTCAAGAGAATCACTGGAAGGCAGCTTGCTCAGGGTGCCTGGAAGTCAGTGGAGGAGGGAGGAGGCCCGAGGAGGAGCTGGGGGAGGGAAAACAAAACTGGGGCAGTGGCACAGTGCTTGTAGGTCGTAGGGGCTCTGAGTGGTCCCTTTCCTGCAGGAGGCTGAGGCTAAGCTTCCCAGAGGGAGGCGGAGACTGGGGAGAGAGTGAGCAGTAGTTCTTACATGAATAGAGAGGTAATGTTATGGGTCACTCAGAATAGGAACCAGACTGGAATTTAAAAGCCATTTATTATTGATCTCATCGCCCCCCCTCACCCCCAAAGCTCTCATGCAGGAGAGGCTGAAAGGTGGCTAGCCCCTGAAGGGGGGGTGGGGGTGTTTAAAACGCGGAACCACATTCAGTTTGGTAAACAAATTTATTGTCTGACACAAAATAATGCTTTCAGGGTCAGTGTGACCACTACTCTAACTAAATTTCCCAGGGCTTTGTTTTGGTTTCTGGTTATCTTGCACCTGAGTAAGTGCATACAGCCTTGCACAGCCCGAGGCTACAAGAAGCTAAAGCCCCTTTAGTTTCCTTTTGGAGTCATCTCTGTAAGCTAACTTTGTTTACAGGAATTAGTGAGAATTTTATCTTAGCAAACAGCAAAGAACAGCCACTAGTTACTAAACAACTTAGAACAGTGGTATTTTTTACACAACAGAACATACAAGATTTACATTTATAGTCTAAAATGTGAGTCGACCCATTACAGTAAAAGCTGACGCTGGTGGGAAATGCTGAGGCGCGGTGTGAGAAGCGCCAGTCTTTGGGACTGGCTTGAGACAGGGATGGAGTTCCCTTTAAGAGGTGGAGTTGCACCCGTGAAAGCCTGCCCAGAAGGGGACTCTGCTACTGAGCCCGCGCCTCCGAATCCCGAAGACGTCTGCTTGCCCTACAGGCTACTTCCCCGGGCATAGCCGCTGACAGTCTGAACCCGCGGGTCGGATTAGGATGGCAAGGGCGCTTCATCGGTAGGGTAAAACTCACCGCTGGGGGGGGGGGGCAGGGCAACAATCCAAGGTGGAAGGGTCCGAAAGCGAGGTCCCTGCCGGCTGCTGGCCCCCAAGAGCCGCTGTGCTAGCTTTCCTGGCCCCTCCTAGTTAAAACTCCCAAAGGCCAGAAGGATCCTGAGGTTCTGCTACCGAGGTCTGTATATGTACTGAAAATGAAGCTCAAGGAGCTTCTGCCCTCCTCCTCCCCGCCCGCCGCGCCGCCCCGCCCCGCCCGAGCCCGCTGGAGCTGGCGGAACTGGCCTGGACTCAAACCTCGCACGCGCGCCAACCCCAGACAGCTGATGACATAGTGGTGACTATAGTAAGGAATTTGAGATCGCTACAAAGTCACCTTTTACTCCCGGGCCACTAATGAGCTGGCAGTTGCTAGGAAACAAGAGGCGGGCGGAAGCGCCGAGGACTCCACGCCTGCTGGAGAGGGAATTAGTCAGCTGATCGCTGCTCTGTGTGAAGACCGCGCGCAGGTGAGATCGCGGCATCATTTCTGATCCGGTCTGAAGATTAGGAAGCGGCCTTAGGGAGCCCCTCTGCCAGCAGAAGCTCATGCTGTCCCTGTGTGGCCCAGGGGCTCTCTCAGCAGCTTCTGGGCTGGGCAAACCGGGATGGGCTGGCCCCACCGGGAGCCTGGCCCAGGGCCCCCTGTCCTCCTGGGGGCTGTGGTGCTCCTGCTCCTGCTGTGCCGGGCGCAGCTGACCTCAGGTAAGAGCTCCTGGCTGCAAGGCCCAGGCGACCGGATGGGACTGACAGCTGTGGTTGGCAGGGCGGGCTTCCTCGCAGGGCTTCTGCCTGTGG